TCTTCAGACAAGTTTCGTTACAAAGATTACCGCAGACGATTCAGGGCATTTTAGCCCCGATCTACAAGTCCCCTTTAACGGAACTAGCCGAGGCGGCCGATAGGGCAGTGGAGGCCACTGGATCCAACATGCGCATTTCGGCTGCGGTCACCGATAGTCCCGCTCAGACCAAGGAATCTCCAGCCGGGGAGTCATCAAGCTTCGATGCGGTGGCCCATATAACCAAGCTTTGCGAGGAGATATGTAGTATTAGACAGGAGATGAGGGGCAGAGGTTGCTCGGGTAGTCGCACCAACCCGACTCGTAATAGATCCTCATCACGTGCTGGCAGTAGGCATCGTAAGTCTCAAAAATCCCAGCCTGGATTGTGCTGGTATCGTCGGCGCTATGGTGAAAAGGTCCAAAAGTGCACTCATCCGTGCACCTTCGATGCCCAACAGTCAGGAAACTAGCAGGCCAGCACGTATTGGCAACTAACGTCACTGGCGAACCACTCCCATGTCGCCTCTTCTATGTGAAAAACCGTAACACTGGGATACGCTTCCTCATTGATACCGGAGCAGAGGTCAGTGTGATTCCACCCATAATAGAGGAGCACAGGCGGCCAATGTCCTTACGACTACGTGCTGCAAATGGTTGCCAATAGTTACGTTTGGCAGGTGTTTTCTTGACCTGAATATCGGCTTGCGCCACACATTCCGCTGGGTCTTTCTAGTAGCGGATGTGACCACAGGTACAATCGGTATGGATGTGTTAGAGCATTACCAATTACTGGTAGATACTGGTAAGCACAGGCTAATAGATTCCGCCACAAACCTCTCGGTCAACGGTATCGCCACTCAGGGCCCAGCCCTCAGCCTCGTATATGCCACAACCACATGTACTGGTCCATATTTACATATACTTCAATCTTTTTCGGATTTGTTTAAACCTAGTCACGGCCTACCATGTGTGATTTCCAACGTCAAACATCACATTCTTACGACTGGCTCGCCAGTCTTCGCAAAGCTGCGACGTCTATCCCCAGAAAAACTGAAGGCTGTTAAAGCAGAGTTCAAGCATACTGTTATGATGCTAGATCTTTGTCTCGAGGTAACTGCTTAACTACTGACCAGTGCCCACTTAACTAGTAAATAAGAACACACGATAATCAGTGGTAAGACCAGAATCATTTATTTATGACAAAAGTGACTGTATCTATACAAAAATAAGGTAGACTGGAAATCAACCAATCCGGTTGAGAGTTTGGAATTGTGCAAGCATCCAATCAGAAAACAGAAACAAATGCATTTCAACGACATGATAATAACTTGATAATTGCATGTGTTTTGCCTCTTCTTAACACCTCCCCTTTTAACATAGGGCTATCGGTAGCTTTTGTATCGCGGAATCACATGTAGGTACTTTGGCGGTACCTAAAAAAAAGTAACTATTGGCAACCATTTGCAGCACGTAGTCGTAAGGACATTGGCCGCCTGTGCTCCTCTATTATGGGTGGAATCACACTGACCTCTGCTCCGGTATCAATGAGGAAGCGTATCCCAGTGTTACGGTTTTTCACATAGAAGAGGCGACATGGGAGTGGTTCGCCAGTGACGTTAGTTGCCAATACGTGCTGGCCTGCTAGTTTCCTGACTGTTGGGCATCGAAGGTGCACGGATGAGTGCACTTTTGGACCTTTTCACCATAGCGCCGACGATACCAGCACAATCCAGGCTGGGATTTTTGAGACTTACGATGCCTACTGCCAGCACGTGATGAGGATCTATTACGAGTCGGGTTGGTGCGACTACCCGAGCAACCTCTGCCCCTCATCTCCTGTCTAATACTACATATCTCCTCGCAAAGCTTGGTTATATGGGCCACCGCATCGAAGCTTGATGACTCCCCGGCTGGAGATTCCTTGGTCTGAGCGGGACTATCGGTGACCGCAGCCGAAATGCGCATGTTGGATCCAGTGGCCTCCACTGCCCTATCGGCCGCCTCGGCTAGTTCCGTTAAAGGGGACTTGTAGATCGGGGCTAAAATGCCCTGAATCGTCTGCGGTAATCTTTGTAACGAAACTTGTCTGAAGAAGGCATCAACTATTTTGAAGTCGGCGACCAACTGTTTCATTTGTCGTAACAATTGAGTGGGCTTTCGGTCACCGAGCTGAATCTCGCAAAAACGTTCTTGCACTTTCTGTTGGTCAGTGAGTGCAACGCGTTTAATTAGAGCCCGCTTGAGCCGCTCATACACGTCGGGGGACGGATCCTCGAGAACGTCAGACACCTCCTCCATGACATTCTCAGGAAGACTCACAATTACCAGGTTCGCCTTCGTTTCTTGTGAGTGTATATGCCTGAGGGCAAACAAAGCTTCTACATGGCCGAACAGGACGATGAGTCCGGAAGGTTGGGAGTTGCAAAGTTATAGCCATCTGGGAAGCACTGTTGTCGGCCTTTATGCGGACAGGACGATATAATAACGGAGTGATACAACAAATACACGTGAAAACAAGACAAGTAAAATCTTATAACTCTCCGTGAAAAACAGACAAAATCGTCAATATGAAAAAGAACTATTAGCACGTCAAGCTACTATGAGGGCTTAGATCTTTAGATCTTTATCTTGAAAAAGATAATAATGAACGCCTTGACAGATAATGCTTCTTCCTTCAAATATATACCATTCGCTCAGCCTATTGTTTGAGATGCGACCATGTGGGATCTGCACAGATTTATGGGGCATCTTATAAATTAACTTGCTATCCATCGTCAGATCTTTACATACCACTACAAAATGTCTTATCTCATTTATTTTATAATAACGCCTTTACTTGATCCTCATTTTACTCCATTAAAACTAACATTTTACAGCCCTTTATGACTTATTATATTCCTACTCTCTGAAGGGTACGGTTGTGCACTAAATGCACAAAAAGGTATAAAATAAAAACAACCGGCACAACTGAGGATAAATGTATTAAAACCAAAAGTGGACATCATGATAGTACGAGATATACGTGTAGCATTATACATTGCAAATGAACGTTGTCAGCCTAGGGAGTTTCCTTTATAAATGCATTTATTAGTGATACTTGCACTTACCTATTTCATTACAATTTAATGATTCACCTCAGCACTTTAATTTTTCTAAAACAGACTTCAATCCCTTGTAAAAGTTGTGCTTACCTCAATATTTGTTGGTTATCGTGTGCCTACAACCACGGGATGAAAACGAAACGAAGTCGATTTTCCCGCTCAACCTGGAGGACAACTGTACAATTCAATAACTATACGGCCTAGTTCAGAAAATGAGTGTATTATATGTATCAAATATTTAACAGTTGAAATATGATTAACTTGTAGACAATCAGAGATTTGAGACTATATCTTACTTGATCGTGCCTGTAAAATAGTCATGCATTTTCATGTAAATTTGTAAATTTGTATGAAATAAATTATTATTACTATGGAGGCGAACGATGAAAACACGGGCTCACCACTTGTAAGAGTTGTTCCGGCTTAGGGTAGACTTAAATAATTAACGCCCTTACAAAATCTTCACCGTTCTATGCCCTTAGCAGTACTCTACTTAACGTGCGAGTATTGACGAACGAAATCAGAGTAAAAAGACTTGATATGATAAGTGTGTCAGGACAGAGTTATATTTTTATACAAATGAGGTATGAAACTTGATAAATGAAGAGTTTATCCAACTTATCTGGTGCCTTGATTGGTGCTAGGCTCGGAGAGTGCACTGAATGAAAGCGCAACAGGGGAGCGAAGCACTTGTGTCAATGGAGTTGAAGATTGAACGATCAATTCTTGGTTGTTTGCTCAAAATCAACTTCCCCAATTTTCGCGGAGGCATCAATACGACAGTCATCGTCTCATCGGTCGCTGTTCAGAAAGAAGTCAGTAGCAAACCATCAGAAGTAATCTTATGATTTATTATTGTAATATTTGTTCACAGACCTTAGTTCAATTAGTATTTTTATATGTTGGTGCAACAATAAAGAATTCTCAAGCGGCCAATCGGTGTTTTGGTTTTTTCGTCCGTTATAACTAAGCGTTTCTGAAAACTTCAAGGAACAGCGTGGGCCCGAGCGTAGCAACAGCTGGGCATTAACGGTTTATAAGACGTGGCTGACAGTTTCTGATGGTAAAAACAAATTCTGGTGAATTCAAACAGTTGGTGAAAGTTCGGATAGTCGCCGTTCATTTTTCCTGGTGCCGGTCAAGTCCTCTTTGAACAAGCAATATCTGGAACGTTTTTGGAATTGGGTCAAGTTCAACAACCCCTGGGTCAAGGAACGGACAGAGCGTCTTGGATGCAAACAGGAACGTAAGTCATGGTGACTTGTCTGTTAATTGTAACGATGTGTCTGATGTTAAACACGACATGGTTGATGTTACTGTTTCGCCGTTCAGGGATAATAGGAACATCAAACTCCCTAAATTAGAACCACGATGTTTTGATGGAAACCCAGCTGATTATTTACAATTTGTAAAGGAGTTTGAGATCATGCTAAGTGGTTTTTTATTAACTGATGAAATGAAGTTAATGTATTTGATGAGGTATTGCACTGGAATTGCTGCAAGAGCTATACAGTGTTGTAAGCTCATGCCCCCTAATGAGGGATACGCTGAGGCTATGAGCATATTACGTCAAAGGTTTGGAAGACCTTCAATGATTGTAAGGAACGTATACGAAGCTGTCAAAGGTAACGGCAGTCAACTCCAAGATGACTCCAAGGCACTTACTGAGTTTTTAGATAATCTTATGACTTATAAGAATACCTTGATTTCTATGAATTGCATGAGTGACCTCAACTCGAGTTTTATACTAGAAGTAATAGCAAGACGCCTACCTACTCGACTGCAAAGGAAGTGGGTGAAGATAAGCTCCCGTATGGAGGATGAGGGTATCGAGCCAAAATTTGATGATATCCTGAAACTAATAAAAGATAGTGTCAATCAATCTATGAGCAAGTTCGCTAGCCTATTACATCTCACCCCTAGAATAGAGCAGTCTGAGAGCAAAATGCAATCATTAATGACGAGTGGGCCTCAGAGAGGTGGAAATCGAGAAGGCTCCATGATGTATAGTAATGCATATAGACCTAGTGAGTGTAACAGGTTTCGTAGTACATCCTCAACAGATAAGTTACGAGATGCAAGACAAACACGGTTGTGTTTTACACGTTTGCAAGAGGTGCATACAAAGGTGAACTGTGAACCAGTGAGCAAGTTCAGTGATAAGCTAAATGTAAACTCCAGGCATGACTCCGAATTGTGTGACGATAACGGTTTGGTCAGGAAGTCTGTAGTTGCAACTGGTAAGTCATTGTTGAATAGAGTGTCACAGAATAGAGTTGCTGCTTCAGAGTGCAGTTCTGACTCCACAATTTTACAAGGTATTACTAGTCAGAGTGAAGTTATAAAACCTTTTAGGATTTGCGAGGAGGAACCAAAATTGTCTACTTCTGTTATTAAAGAGTTTGAAAATGATGAAGTTGACGGTAAAGTGAATATTCGTGATAATGATCATGATACTTCACAGTTGTCTTTGGTTGATCATGATGAGATGAGGGATATGCCTACTACTGCTAAGTTGAACAAAGTTTCTGTACAACTTGAACGTGAAGTAGAAACAAATGCAGATGCAGTTGCAGAAGGCATGCATACTTGTGAGACCGTCAGTGTAAGTGATCAGCATGTAGCCCACCTATCATCAGATGCTAGTGCTAAACCTGAGCTGATAGTAAAATACAGCAGTGGTGGTGGTCTTGCATGTAGACAAACTTTTGAAAGTCGAGCAACAACAGCTTTTGATCCACCGCTAACTTCATCAACTGATATCAATCAGTCGTCGTTGGTGCTGTCATCCACAATGAAACAGACGCCCATCATCTCAAGTATCTTGTGCAATGACTATGCTAGTATCAGTTCGTTTGAAAGGACGAATATCAATGGTCAGTTTAGTGAGGATAAGCCAAGTGTAAACGAGAGAGTAATTGTTAAATTGACTTGCACGAATAAAGGCATTTCTAGTTTCAAGTTACTAATTGAATGTTATTATCTTTGGTGTAAATTACTCTATGCCTACGCTTGGTTGACCAGATACGTCGGGTGTTTGTTCGTCATCTATGTTCTACGATACAATGACATGAGCGTGTTACCGTTCAGATTTGAGGATATAGACGATAGAAGGAAGTCAGCAAATGAACTCTGCGATGATTTTCCAACCTAGGGCGTCAACCTAAGAAGGGTTGTAGGCGTACTGCTGTAAGTCCTACAATTCTTCAAAGGGTAGCGCATCAATGAGCAGTCCAATGTGCTTGGTGTGTGATTTTGTACATATGTTCATATTGTATATACTGAATTGATATCATCTGTCATCTAGCTGTTGGTAATTCTGTTTGTGTCCGGACGACTTCCACTTGGATCATCAACCTGAGAAGGAATGTAGGCGTACTGCTGTAAGTCCTACAGTTCTTCAAGGGTAGTTTGTCGTGCCAGAATCCACAACATTTGATGTAGTGATTGTACATATGTTTGTGTTAAATAATTGTGTGAGTTCCAATTATTGTAATTGTTGGTTAATCTTGTTTGTGTCCGGACATTCCACAACTTACAATCGTCAAACTGTGAAGGGTTGTAGGCGTACTGGTGTAAGTCCTGCAATTCTTCAAAGGAATTCCATCAAGACATGATCGGCGAGTTTGTGTGTACTGTTTGTGTATACGTGTGGTGTGTCATATCAATTGGTGGTGTTTTGGATTCATTGTGTTTACTCGTTGTTTTCGTACCTTGTTGTTATTGCATAATTTTGTTAAAATTTTCGTCGTGATTACTTCTGAAGTTGTTTCGAGTCTTCTACATCCGTGAATGAATTGATTGATGTTAAGGACAGCAGATGGGTCGTATACGCCGGGGAGGCTAGGCTATTGCTGAGAATGAAATGCACACGGAGATAATTGTTAGCTGCGGTCCGACACGCCGGGGAGAAAGAGTGTAAACGACTGAGGCTCGCATGCGTCACCGCTACTAGAACTGAGGCAGAATGAGTGACAAGCGATTGCAGTGGTAATTGGTAGTGAGTAGATAAGAGGATGTGCGTAGAGTATCGTGAGGTGGTGCTATGGTCACGTTGCATTCTGCAAGAGTCATTCTAGCAAGTGGCGATTGTGTTGCAAGAGGATGCCTTTAACTCGAAGGCGCAGGTCGTCATTGATGTGTGAGATTGTGCTGTGAGTATGCTTGTGGTGTGTTGGCTTTTCTGTTTGTTTTCCATTTCAGCTCTGTCCGTGTGACCCAGGTTCTCGCAATGGCATCCAAGTCAACGTGCATTGGTCGTGAAGGAAAAAAGGGTTGGATCCCTTTTTTGCCAGGGAGTGTCAATGGAGTTGAAGATTGAACGATCAATTCTTGGTTGTTTGCTCAAAATCAACTTCCCCAATTTTCGCGGAGGCATCAATACGACAGTCATCGTCTCATCGGTCGCTGTTCAGAAAGAAGTCAGTAGCAAACCATCAGAAGTAATCTTATGATTTATTATTGTAATATTTGTTCACAGACCTTAGTTCAATTAGTATTTTTATATGTTGGTGCAACAATAAAGAATTCTCAAGCGGCCAATCGGTGTTTTGGTTTTTTCGTCCGTTATAACTAAGCGTTTCTGAAAACTTCAAGGAACAGCGTGGGCCCGAGCGTAGCAACAGCTGGGCATTAACGGTTTATGAGACGTGGCTGACAACTTGTGTACAGGAGAGTTGAAACTCTAAAGATGAAGGTGTGCCAAAACGAATTGGGGCAGAGTTCAAACAAAAGTTCAAGTGTTCAATGTGCAGTACAACCCCTCCGTTGTCACCTTCAAAACGTATCGTCGAACGCCAATTGTAAAAGCTTTAGGGGTACATTTTAGGAACCATGAACACAACTCAGAAGCAGCTATACCATGTATTGTGAAACGTTGCCACCCAGCTTTATGCTTTTTATCAAGTTTAATAGCAACTTGTGGATCAGGGATTCGAAAAATTTCAAATACTCATGAAGGTATAATATAATACCACAAGAGGTAATATTTCGTTTGGTTCACATAAACAAGAGAAATTATATGCAATTTAGTGATGGGTTCTAGTAGCTCACTTAGTTAGCAGGTTGTCCCAAACCTGGAGAAACCGTTTTGGAATTCCTGACCATAAAGGAGCAGTAAAGGTAAAGACTGACTTCTCTCCTATAAGAATAGAACTTGGACAGTGTGGTAGATTATAATGCCATTATGGAGAAAATTTTCTTTGGTCGAGTCACACAGTGTTATACAGTGGTATTTATTGATGACTTTTGGAGCACAATTTGTTGCCTATTATCATATCGAGGTACCCACGCAGCCCTACGACTTCGTTGATATAATTCCAATATTCATCGCCTGTTAATTTGATTGGCAATGGCATTTTCCACATCTCTGGTATTGCCGACGAGTCATCACTATTATAAGTGTTGGGTGTAGATTTTATGAACTTGATATGGTTATAAGCAGTAAACTGTGCTTAAAACTTCATCAGTAAATATCACTGTCGGGTTTTATCGAAATAAGTTTTCCCATAATGGAATAAATTCTTGTCACATTGGATTCGCCATTCATGAAATTCAGCGACCGAAAAATAGTCGTCACAAAACCAAAGATAGCCAGGAAGGATAACACTGTTACGACAGCAGCGGTGGGCTACTCCACAGAATTATTAGCCACAGCATTCATCATTGAACACTGGACGCTGACCCCTACTGTTGAAGTTGATTTGTTCAGCTGAAGGCTCACGATCAATCATGCAGAACATTTGGCACGCCGTCGAGTTACGTTCATTTGTTCGTGCATGGTTTCTAGCCAGTTAAGCAATCACCCTTGCGCTCTGATTTGGTCCCGAAATATAATATATATAATATATATAATTTGGCCAGTCAATTGTGGTGTTTTGATCTGTCTTTGATCTACGCGGAGCGAATACTGTAGAGGTTGTGGGTGTTAGATCTCGCACTATCCGTTAGCGTCAACACCTTCAGCCTCTAAACGACTAAACTGTACGTTAGAGTTCAGCTAATTGGGGCGTAAATTTCTCCTATAGGTCTGTACCAGTACTCAAACACCCCACCTACTGCTCTGTAATTCACTGTTGTATTATACATTTTATTACCAGCTCCACGCTTGTCTGTCTTATAATGTTTTTATGTTATAATTACGTATTCACGTGCCCACATTTTCTTGTCTGTCTCCCATCCAGTACTCTTGCTCTAAGTTTTATTTTTGCAGTCCACTGATTTTTTAGGCATTTTGATAGTACCGGTCAACCTTACCGAATAAGTGTTTGGTGAGACGATATTTTGCCAAACCTAGAAGCTACTCCACCCTAGTACAAACCATAAGTAACCTCCAAAATAAACTCTCGTTGCGTTGGCTAAGCTGAAGCAGTCGATGGGATAGATCTTGACGGAATTTAGGAAATATCTCGAGCCTTTCCGAAACGGCAGGTGGTGAATGTCAAGAAATAACAAGGTTTACATAGGCTTGTCAAAGACACTGTTTAATGGAAGGTCATCATTAAACGCACCCTGCAGCATACAGACATGAAGCTACACTCTGAGTTAAGAAAATGTGTAAAAACTGAATCCAGGGAAAATAAAGAGCTGATGTTTAGCTGGGTGAGAATGCAGAATAAGTGGTTTTACAGTAGCCCTTCTATATACCATTGAACAATAGATGCTAACAAGCGGGCTGCTTAAGAAAGTCGCTGGTGTAGCTTCATTTTCACTTACGGGGATTTTACAAGGATATTCTATTGATTTAATCTTATGTGATTGGTGAGGCTTGTTATTTTATGTTGTACTAGTCTTTTAGCTTGTTCCTATTAGTTTAGGAGCCGTAATTATAGACACTGGCAAACTAACACTTTCCCGAAACTACCATGGAATATACTCATTTTACTCCGAATTATTTTGCATAAATATTTGTGACGGTTAGTCGGTCTGACTTAAAATAGAGTGACGGCTTGTTAAATTTTGCATGGTCATTCATCGACAAACATTGTTGAGTTCGACCATGACTTTCTCACCCATGGTTATTCCGACATAACATAAGCCTGATACTCTTGTGTTGCTTGTCTAGTTCATATTTGACACATTTTAGTACTCAGGTATGTGTTATCTTCCAACTTTCGTTTGTTATATGTCCGCACTTCTGGATTGCCGTTCACTCGAAAGCCACGTGTCTATGAGTGATTAACTGAATTTTAATGGAAAGCTGTTGCTAATTGTCAACTGGGCTTACAATGCAACCCAAAAACTGGAAGACTATCTTCATACTATCTTAGACTATTGTTTTTATTAAACTTTCCTGAACATGCGCCATACAAAGCAATTTATTTTAGTAAGTTCATAGCTGCTGGCATTTGGGGACGGTCTCAGGTTCTGTGAAGGTTTTGGTGTATTGATTTTGAGCTGTCTTCTGTGGTGTGATATTTTCTGAATTTGGCAGTTCAAGTTAACTCTGATTTTTTGTCAAGTGTATGTATGGCGTCTGACTTGCCTATCTCAAACTTTTCTTTTTTCATTCGAGTATCTTAGATTAGATTACGCCACCGTACAAGTACTCTAGCTTTTCTGATTATGCATCCATCAGCGTATCCAAAATTAAGGAAGTTGAGTAGCATGGGTTGTTGGCAATTGTGATATAGGGTGGAGGTCAGTGAAAGATCTTTTCTTGTCTTGCTAGAATATCATAAGCCATGTTGGATACTTTCTTAAAGGCATCTCGTAACCTTGTTTCTTCTGGATTTTACCGCGCATTATATCCCAATCACACCTTCACAAGTGTCAAACTGTTTTGTGGCATAATTACACACTTTGTGTTCCAACCTTTTCACAATACGCCGTATTCAAACCTCATTACTGAATTTATTGGTATATTCAAATACAGGAACGGCTCAAGGCTACCAGGCAACCTCCTTTGGGTCTTCCAAACACGACCTTTTTGTTTGTCGACTTATGGTTGTTTAGCCTTAACAGTTTGATTTCATCCTGAGTCCTAATTTACCGAACCTGAGCGGCACCGTCCCTCCACACATAATATAGTTCATCGTATGGCATGTAAAAATTCTGATCTAGTCAACTGGGTTTCAAGAGATCTTTTCTTTGTTGCAGTTTGTAGTACACAGTCTAATTATTTGTAAATCGTTGTATTTCCATTATTGTTCTGCTTGTTTGTTTTATCAGATGGTGTGAGTATTATTTGTTGGATAATATTTGGGCTACACTTAATCGTCCATCATCATAATGACATTATTTCCAAAATAAGTCGTTTTTTAGACCTCATATAGTGAGCTCTGCTCATAATAATCTCAATTTTATTTTTTACTAGATCTTGCCAAGCTGCATTTACCTACAAAAACTGATTAAACGAGAGTAAATCTTGCGTACTGGATTCCGTGGAACTATCTAACCTAAGTGTAATCACAAAGTTTATCTAGCATACATCAATTGGAATTCGTGTTTGCAGCCATTAATCTTAGTATTTGAGAATGGCAGGTTTTCCACATCCTTTCGTCACACCACACCTTGGATACCCCGGATATGCTCATCCAAATTTTGTGCCCAATCCAGTTACATCTGTCTCTCAGTTATCAGCTGTGCAAATCAATGCAGGTTGGGTAGAACATTATTCTCATGATGGTAGAAAATATTATTTTAACCCCTACACTCATCAAACTACATGGGAGAAACCTCAAGAATTAAAAACTCAGCGAGAGAAAATACTTTTTAATTCTCCATGGAAAGAGTTTAAGTCTGAGAATGGGAAACCTTATTATTACAACGAAATTACAAAACAGTCGGTTTGGGTAAAACCACAAGAACTAATAGACGCTGAAAACCAAGCTGCAGCTTGTACCCCGACATCAAATAATTCAATCCCTGAGCCACCAAATGGCATACCACCTGTTACACCGTGTACACCAGCGACACCTAAAGAAGATGCCAATAAACCACCTGAGCCTTCAGAAATAGAACGCGCCATGAAAGCAACTTTAGCCTCTATCGAGGCATCAGATGCAGCAACAGCGTCAATTCCTATTCCGCTTCCTCCAGAAAAGTTAGACGAAAGTGAGGAGGAGAGTGATGAAGAAAAACCGGTAAACACTTCACAGTCAGCTACTACAGTTCCTTCAAGTACACAACCTGCTGTACCGGAATATAAAACGAGAGCAGAAATGGCAGAAGGTCTTAGGCGGCTTTTTAGAGATTGTAATGTTCCAGGTGCTTCAACATGGGAACAAGCATTGAAACTTATATCTGGAGATCCTAGGTATGCTGTCTTGAAAACGTTTAATGAGAAAAAGCAGATATTTAATGTATACAAAACTCAGAGATTAAAAGAAGAACGAGAAGAACAAAGAATAAGAATCAAACGAGCAAAAGAAGACTTAGAAAAGTATTTATTAAAGTGCAATAAATTGCATTCAACTATGTCATATCGCAGAGTAGACCAGTTACTGTCAGATACAAAAGAATGGACTGATGTTCCAGATCGTGATCGTCGTGAGATATTTGAAGATGTTATGCAAGAGATTGGAAAACGTGAAAGAGAAGAAGCTAAGATACTTCGCAAACGAAATATAAGAGTATTTAATGAAATTCTAAGCGAGATGCTTGATCTTACCTATCGAACAACATGGAGTGAAGCGCAACAAATGTTACTTGACAATACTAGGTGAGTGTTAAATTTGAATTTATAGCTTAGTGTTCACCTTTTTTTCTGTGGATGTTAAAAATTGTGCAAGTTTAAACAGTCACTAGCCTATGGCAATTGTAGAATTACATCTGTGTATGTTGTTTTCATCTCCACAGATTGTGCGTTGGTGACAGAGCGGTTAGGACGCTCACCGACCATGCACATCGTCCAGGGTTCGATTCCCGGCCACTGGACGCACTCCTTTACCTCGCTAATCCAGAAATAAAAAGCTGGTAAAGAGGAAAGGTTGGGCATGAGGTTAGCAACCCCATCCTGTAAAAATAAACACACTGCTACAGAAACTTCAGGCCACTAGCTTGAGGCTCTATGTTCCACTGAGAACGTGAACGAAAGAAAAAGTCTCCACAGATTTATGTGTTATAAAGATATATGTTCATTTCCTTTTTGATGCTTCATCATAGTGATTACATAAGTGATGCCACTTGTAAAAGAAAATCTTATACACGTTAGGAAAAGTTTTTTTTATGCATAACGCTTTATGTTGCATTGCTTCGCCTTTACTTAATTTGTAAAAAGTAGTGTACTAACTAAATGTTGCAAGAAAAGTTTACGGAAGATTGATTTTGGTTTGCAAGCTATTTACACTGCCGGAATGTATAATAAAGACGGATTTGTTCGTACAGTCTGCTTTAAATATCAATATCTGGTCATATGGTCTGACACACAGTGACTGACTTACTGGTTTCAGCATAGCGCTTTACAGGGAACTGCTCCAGTCGCAGTTGTCACACTCCATGAAGCAATTGAAAGAAGATAAGAGAAAAAGGGATTAAAAAATCCCATAATAAGTAGAAGTGTGATGGAGAAAGAATAGTAACATAGAAAAGCGGATACAGTAAAAGCGAATACATTCGCGCCATCATTGAGATCGATTTCATATCACCAAGTGTTGTCTCCAGTCATTGGTTCTTGGAGTCCTGAGGACCCAAGGCATGAAGCCTACACCTTTCTACGTGGCTCAAACTACCTATGAAGGATTTCGTTGACTGATTTTTAGTTTTAGTTTGATCTGTTAGTTTCTCGCATCACTAAACTGCATCGCAAGGGAAATTAGAAGAGAAAATGAAATTTACAAGGGGTTACTTGAGAAATACAGAAAAGTCGGAAATAATTAATAATAATAACAACCTGGATGTGCACATGAATCGAGACGTTTTCATGCTTCACATATCTGTAGAGATTCGCATTTCCACATAAGATTTCTAAAGTTTAACATCCAAGAAAGAGATCTTGGTTGGCTTATTCGTGTTAGGAGAACATACTGACAAGGTATTAACTAGTGGTTCTGTCTTCTAAAACGTAAAGTTTTGCTTCAGAAATGTTCTCAATGCATACCTTGTTTAAGTATAATGAGTGGATTTGTTTAACGTGTGCGTCGGTGGCAGAGTGGTTAGGACTCTCGTCGACCACGCACATCGTCTGGGGTTCGATCTCCTGCCGACGCACTCCCGATATCTATGGTCGGCCTGCAAAATTTTTGGGATACCGATATCACATGCTGAAAATTCCATACTTGTACCGAAAATACGGTGTGGAGTCAAGCTGTAATAAAGGAAAAATACTATTTCACTTATCTCAGAAGCTTCCACAGTTCTGGTGTCTTTCGTCAAATGATTCATACAAAATGTCTGGGGTGAAAAATGTAAAGACGAACTGTTCCATAAATTTGAGCTAAGATAGAACAAACATTGGTGCAAAATAATTGGGATCTATTTTACGTCGTTGGTCATCTTCGGCTGAGTACAACCCATAATATTCAATAAAACCAGTTATAATACAGTTTTAACAGGTTTTATTAAGTACTATAGGTTTTACGCAGCTGGAGAGAATCAGCAAAACAAAATTGTTCCATGCTATTCTTCACCAGAGAGTTTGTGGTATCCTTGTTCAAATATATAAGGGAAAATTTGTGTATGTGATATCTCTTAAGTGTTTTTGTTTTATGGACCTGCTCACTGCTCTGTAATTCTCTAACCTTTTTTTCTTCTCGCCTTGTACTGTTACTCTGTGTGTGTGTAGCAAATTTCTTGGTGCTGATTTTTGTTTTACAAAATAGTGATGTAAGTTTTGGTATATCATATCTTGGTTGTTGTTGGTGACTAGCAGTGGAATCTAGGATGCCCATTTCGTCCTATTCAGAGCTCGTCATCATGATAAGCCTTCACTCCCACTGAGTGATGGTGTTCTTACTGAGGAGACGTGGACCCAGCACCCTTCGTTTCAAAGGCTGCTAGGCCACGAGAGCTACCTTTTGTGCAAGAGATATCATCCTGGTGGTCACCACCAACCAAAACAACTTCACGTTTAAGCCTTAGGTACTTTCGATACATCTGTACTGGAAGCCGAGATGTTGTCAGAGATCTAGCATCATGGTCAAACGTAATCAATCGACGGGAAATGCGAAATTGACCTAGAAAGAAATATGGTGTATCCAACTCTAGTTGGTTGCTCAACAGCCACAATCATATCAGTTTTTTTCCTTTTCTAGTGGAACACAGGGCTTCAAGCTAGTGGCTTGAAGTTTCTGTAGCAGTGTGTTTATTTTTACAGGATGGGGTTGCTAACCTCATGCCCAACCTTTCCTCTTTACCAGCTTTTTATTTCTGGCTTAGCGAGGTGAAGGAGTGCGTCCAGTGGCCGGGAATCGAACCCTGGACCATGTGCATGGTCGGCGAGCGTTCTAACCGCTGTGCCACCGACGCACCATTCATGTCAGTACATTGTGCAATAAATCAAGCACTTATAATGCAATGTCTGATGTTGTTGGGCGTCTCCATACATAGAATGGGATTTAAATGTGTGACTTATTGTTTGAAAGCCAAATGCCTAATTTAATTAATCATAACACCTAAATTTCTGTTATTCATTTAGAAGAAGAAAAAGTTTGGGCAAAGTGCTTTTGTTTTTCGATGATTTTGTCATCTGACTGTACAGCCATATATGCATAATATTTGAAGAGTTATCTTTATTAAATGCGTCGGTGGCACAGCGGTAGAATGCTTGCCGACCGTGTATGTCGTCCGGAGTTCTATCCCCGGCGGGCGCACTCCTTTACCTTGTCAAACCAGTTATAAGACTGGTAAAGAGGGAAGGTTAGGCATGAGGCTAGAAACCCCATCCCGTAAAAGTAAACACCACTGCTACAGAAACTTCAAGCTTCTAGCTTGAAGTCCTATATCCCACTGGGAACATAAAGAAATAAAAAAAAATCATTATTAACAACATGGACGTTTTTCCAAATAATATCGAGTCATTAAGATCATTAAAATTATAGTTTACTGCCTAGGATCAATTCTAGCTGACATTTTCCTCATAAAGCCAGATAATGGATCTTTGAAAGGTGTAATTGGCAAACTAGGATTCTATTGTGGTTACACAGATAATTCCCTTGATTGATTATGAAAAATGAGAATAAAACAAAGAACATCCTTAACAATTTTAATGATATGCGTTCTGCAATAAATTTAACCGTCAAGAGATAACAATATAGTTGTATTTCACTCCTAAACGTCTCTTTGACTAGGAAAGACGACTGTACAATAAGGAGTATATATATAGGAGATCTACATCGATTCGTCAGCATAATCATTCTTTCAGTTTCGTACCTTTGACATTTAAACGCCGTTTAATAATGTGTTTCCTTCACAAATATTATATTGTATTATTGTTCCCTTGGGTTCCTAGTGGAACATAGGGCTTCAACTGCACGTCTCCACTTGCTTCTGTCTTCTGCTTTACTTTTCACCTGCATCCATGTTACTCCATACTGTTTCAACCAACTCCTCTTCACACGATCTCTTCCATGTCACCCTTGCACTGACGACCAACTCGCCGCTTCCCTTTCAGCCTGGTTCCACTCGAGCAATGGCCTGACGCGCGCGCGATGTCACCCAGCGGCGGCCTTCTCAGCGAGTGACCGTCCAATCCATCTATCTCGACTTGGCGATTGGTTTGTTCTTGTTTTGTTTGTTTCTTCCCATAGTTTCTTGTTGGTGATTGTTTCCGGCCATCTCATCTTCAGCATAGAGCGGAGGTCTGCAACAGGCTGTTGGAAATATTCTTTGTGCCCCGCCCGCCAAGTTTCTGATCCGTATAGAAGAACTGACTGACTTGACGTTGTGTGTATTGAAAATCCGCCCGAATTTTGTTGTTGATAGTGGCTGAGTGACGAAGATTTCCAGATTGGTTTCATGTTGATGAATGTGTTTCTCGCCTAGATTACTAGCTTGCTAGTTTTCTAGCCGGTCCCAAGCCCGGATAAAGAGGGGGGGGGGATTAGAGCGTGGTGCTAGCAACTCCACCCCCAAAACTTAACCAAATTGCTACAGAAACTTCAACGCATAGATATATTGAAAATACTTCCTTCATAAAGCTAAAGTATTATTATTATTCTCTTGGGTTCTCTTGAGTGGAGCATAGTGCTTCAACAACACACTTCCACTTTGTCCTATCTTCTGTCGTCCTATTCAGCTGGGTCCATGATTACCTAAACTCTCTCATCTCTTCTTCACACGATCTCCTCCATGTCACCATCTAAGTGAAGACCCACTCGGTACTTCCCATTCAGATTCCAATCTAGCAATGGTCTGCTTTGCGTGCGATGTCATCCAATGGCCTCCTCAGTCTGTACCCAATCCATCTCCACTTTCTCCTACGTATTTTTTTGAGCGATCAGCTCTCGCCTGTTGGTTTGTTCCCAGCCAGAGATTCTTGTTGCTAATTCTTTCTGGCCAGCCGGCCATTTGATCTTCAGTATGCAACCAGAGATGGCAGCTATTGTGAAAAAAATATGTAACTTGTTGAAAATGCTTTTCGTGACTGACACCCGGTGTAGGTTTCCCACCCGTATAAAAGAATAAGTGACCAACTTCACATTTGTGTTGAAAATCCGAATCTTGTTTGCTGAGTGCAGTGGATTTGCAAACTGGTTTCAGGTTGATGAAAGCCTATCTCGCTTT